CCTGTTGAAGCTTGGTTTTTCTTTGATGCAGACTTTTCGACACGGGCTTTGCGTACAGCTTGTTGGATCTGTTTCTCGTGCTCTTTGAGCAAATCTTCAAGATTTCCACCAGGAGGCATCAATGGTCCTGAGTAATGGATTCTGTTTTTCCTTGGTGCGTTTCCCTGTTACCATCCCAAAAAACAAATCAACAATTACATACCATAAGGTTAATATACACAAAGGAAAAGCAAGTGGAAGAAAGAGGCTTACGGTTGAGAAATCCCTGTTGGGATCTCTCCTATAAGAATCACCAGAAATGTATCCTGTTTGAGATATTCTAGACTTCAGCTCTGCATTAGTTTGCCTTTTCATGCTTCCACCTCTGCTCCATTCTTTACTCGCAACGCTTGGGTGAACCATTGAAGAAGCATGAGCGTAACCATTCTGCTGGATCCCTCTTCTGGGTGGTTCAATCCTAAACCCGGTGCCACCTTCCTCGTCTGTTTTGAACTTATGGCTGGTGCACGTGACTTTGGACTGCCCTGCAGCCATAAACTCAGGTGTCTGGGCGGTTTTACGATCTTTTGGCCCTCGTCTGGTCACAGTTTCTCCCCCTCTTCTCTTGTTATCCTCTGCCCTTAGTCTACAACCAAAAAATCTCATGAGAAAACCCTCAAGAGAAGGACCAATGAATGAAGATGTATTGTATGTAGCTATACCTTCTCGCTTCTTCGTTGCGGAGTTTAGCATCAAGTTCCTTGCTTGGTGGGTATCTAGGTAAGTTTGATGGATTACCAGGAAGTGGCTCCGTGGTGAAGAACTGCAGAGAAGAAAATTCGGAACTGATCATGACAGTTTGTAACTACTTTAAGAAACATGGATTTCTGGTTTGTATCAATATATTACTTCGCTCCTTAAGGCAGAAGCAGCTGATCCACGTTTCTCAGGTTCTATTGCCAATAGCTTATTGATGAGACTCAGAGCTGATGGAGGGAAATGCTTAAAAGTTTCAGCAAGAACCGGCTTGTAAGGATGACTCGGTTTAAAGCTTGTTGCAAGTGGTAGTGTTGCTCTTCTCCAGTAATCTTCCGAGGGTGAACCACACAGCTTAAAGATCTTGTGCATCTGCTCCACCTGAGAAGCAAGAAGGATAACTATCTCACCACCTTTGTTCCATGATAAATAGAACTCTGAGAACTCTGAACAGATGGTGTTTCGGATTATAATGACAGTGCTAAAACACTGTTCCTAAGAAACTAAAAAGGTATTAGAGAATTCCATTACCTCTGTGCGTCCTGGCATGATAGGCTTTCTGGCAAAGAGCTCAGTTAGAATGCAGCCGGCGCTCCACAAGTCTATTGCTGGTCCATATTCAGTGGAACCGAGCAACAGCTCAGGCGCTCTATACCATAAAGTTACAACGCGACTGGTCAGCTGCAGATCTTGATCACCCCGGTAAAAATTCGCCAATCCAAAGTCACCAATCTTCAGGACACCTTCATTGTTGATCAAGAGATTTGACCCTTTAATATCACGGTGGAGGATTCCTCGTCTGTGGCAATGCTCAAGTCCACGGAACAGCTGTTGCATATAGCACTTGATCTGGAAACCAAGTAAGACTTTCTCATTTCAATTTTCCAAACAATTAGTCTATAAGAAAACATAATTTGTAATACCTGAGGTTCAGAGAATTTGATTCCAGGAGTTGCGGCTAGACCTGCCAGATCGTGTTCCATGTATTCAAAGACAAGGTAGAGGCTACCTGAGAGTCTAGAGGTGACTAAACCTTCAAGTTTCATAACGTTAGGGTGGTCAAGCTTACGAAGAATGAGAATCTCCCTGGCCATAAATCGGACACTCTCTGGATCCATATTCACAAACCGAACCTTCTTCATCGCCACAATCTTACCCGTTTCCAAGTCTCTGGCTTTGTACACGCTGCTGTAAGTCCCCTGTCCAATCTATAACAATACACGTAACATAAATTGTCATTACAACCATGTTGGAGGACTACAGATTAGGATCGTTATAAGTCAAAACCGAAAGATGATTTCTTTCATTGAAAGATCAACTAACTTTGTCTAATTTCTCATAGGAATCTGCGCAGCGAGGTACCCATCCTTTAATGGCTTCTTCGGCAACAGAAGCCAACCAAGACGGCCATTCTGGACGAGTGAGTTCCGTTTTATTTCCGGTCAAACGCCCTGGCTGCTGCTGCTGTATCGGCTGCTGCGCAACAGGCATAGCCGTGACTCTTCTAGTGTTGTTCCTAGTCGGAGCTCCCACAATAACCACCGGGTTAGCACTGTTTCTATCAGATGACGTGGAGGGACGACGCGCCACTGGATAACCATTAGCCACAACGGTGATGGAAGCAGTAGAGGATGGACGTGTGGAAGATCCTTCCTTTTTAGATAAAGAAGACGACGAAGACGGTGGATGAGGAATCAGGTGAAGGATGGATTTGCTGGAATCTAATAGCTCATTGTTAGCAGCGTTTGGAGAACGCGCGGTGGCGCAAATACAACCCATTACACACACTCAAACGACCATTCTAATTCGGAACTAATGGAAGATATAACTCAAGTTTTGCCTCTTTGCATTAGCTATGTCTCTACTTCTGGTGATATGGTCGGCGACCAAAAATTTTAAGAGTTTTTTTTCTGTTGTCTCTCTCACGTTTTTGTGAGTTTGTTGTGGTGAAGAAATGGAACGTGCGTGCCACTCAATGTTCCTTCTAGAATCAAAATGATGAAGAAGAGTAATGGGTCAACAGTCTGATTTTTCTTTCTTGCGGTCGTGACTGGGTCTTGTACAATGGGCCCATTTCCACTTGCAAAGCCCGACAACATTTACTTTATGGTGTCAATTATAACATGAGGACTAAGAAGAAAATCATAATTTTGTCATGATCATACGAGTATACTTTGGATTTCAGCCATGAAAGTTTCAAGTTTAATAATGACATCATTTATCAGACATTTTGACATTTATACGTCGTACTTACTAGACATTTGAGAATTTTGGATACTAAAATTTTCAAATATTAGAATCCATTAATAATGTGTGGTCAAAAATAGTTCAGGTATTTCAAATCTGGCATACTATTTGTTATCTTAGTTTACAGACAAATACATTTATTGATATACATGACTCAAGTGAAAATGACGATAATGCAACACACGTTCATTCTAAAATGTCTAAATACCGAAACAAAAAAAAGAAGAAAATCTAGGTTTTTGAATTCGTCTAGTTTAAGATTTATCCATCGAAACAAATAAATATATGTATAATACTTTTTCTCCCAAAAAAAAAAATCAACACTGAAAAATAATTTAAACTTAAGCATTTATCTTTTGAGCAAAAAAAGGAAAAAACATATTTATAAGAAAACACAAAAAATCCTAAAAAACAGAAGTCAAACATATATTAATCATAAAATTGTAGATAATTCCTTGATCTAATAGTCATAATGATACATTTTAAGAATTACATATGTTTGTAGAAGCTCTTTGATTTAATAATTGACAAATGTTTATTAATGCTTATGTACCAAATCTAAAGTTCGTTCTCGGAAAATGAAAATTATATAGATTAATGAAGGACAAATTGAAAATGTTTTCTAAATAATGTTGAAAATTAGTAATATATATATATATAATTATTGGATAATAATCATAATCAAACATTCATATATGGTGATCCAGATTTCTACCATTCGACGGGTTACTGTAGTCGTTGAATAATTTATTTACCGTATTTTTTAATGGATCTTAAACGTGACATCATTTTGAATGGCCAAATAGAATTGAAAGTGTTACCAAAGATAATTGAACTCGAACTCATATTTAAAAGGTTTACTCCTTTTTCTGAATCATTTTGCCATTATGTTGATCACATATGCTATGATGATTCTCTATGTCCTTATTTCTAACGAATGTATTCCGTCAGTTAGCTCAATCCTGATATAGTT